TTTTACCCTATATATACCCTATTGGTTATAATAATTAAAACTTCTTTATATACTATTATATAGTATAACTACTATATATATATACTATATAGTATAACTAGCTACTATATATAACTATATATAATATAACTCTATTTGCTATATATCTTTATATATAGTATATCTTACTAAATATTCGCTGCACTTAGCTAACTGCATTTACTATAGCGCCTGCTAGCGCAATAATAGCTTTAAAGATGGCTTTATAAGAGCGATTTTAATATTATAGTAGGAAGAGGTATATTCCTAATACTATGCCTAGTCCTCCTATATAAATTAGGTAGAAATGCTAGGACTAGTATCTACTAGCTACTTTTAGCCTACTTTTAGGCTGTTAATTAGCAAAATAAGGTCGTCAAATATCCTAACCTAATTTATATAAGAATAAAGGTACCTTATTAAAGTATAGTATAAGTAAGTAACTAGAAACTAGCCTTTTATTAGTTAGTATATAAGTAGAAAACCTACTTTTAAAAGCTATAGACTTATTAATCCTAGCTATTAAGGAAAGGTAGTGTTTATATTTTGGTTAGTTAATTAATTATTAGAGACTAAATTAATAATAGCATTTCTAATTTATTATATGAAACCTTGATTCTAATAGTTACAATCTTGGGGCTTCGGCGGGCCACGCCACTAGACTCGCTGTACAACCGCGGCCGGCTGGCCCGACACCCGCTACGGGCACAGCAATGACCCCCGACTAGCCTAACCATTCTACAAGTTCGCCAGCCGTTCGCCAGCCCCAAACAAAAACATCTCCAGAGCCTCACTCTCGAGTCTCTGCACCTCATACCTTCTTCTCCTCGCTGGCCCTAGCCTCTCTTAGGATATTTGCCATCACATTCGCATCCAGCAGCCCCACGACTTTCGAAATGGACAAAGGCCTGGACGAGATCATTTCTGAAAAGGTTCGTCCTAGCTACCACGACTTGCGCCTCGCAAACGGCCCATCGTCCTCGTATTAACGCCCTGTGCCATTCACAGCGCAGCAATGGTCCTCGCAACAACAACCGCCGCCGTGGCGTCGGAGACAGGCGTCCTGATCGCCGTGACAGTCCTCGCGATGGCGTCAGAAAGGTGAGCAAACCGCTGCTACCCGCGCCGCGCATCATCCCCATGCCGCATTGTGCTAACTCTTCGGGCGCATCCAGGTTGCCTCATCCTCCCCATCGTTCCCTGCCTCTCGACTGTGTCAACGACCCTCGCGCCGCCTCTGCCGAGCTGACGCTCCTGCATCGTGAACTATTGACGAGCTTGAGCAAGGGCGCATACCTTGACAAATCCTTTAGCTAACCCGACCTACCACCAAACAGTCGTATCGCGATGAGCCACGAAGCATAGATAGGTTCGTCTTTTGAGGTCCGCAACATGTGCGATGAAGTGCATACACTAACGGATAATAGCGAATGGGTTCACGATCGATTCGAAGACGATGGTAATTCGGCCTTCTGTTTGCTCGGCATTACACTGTGCTAAATACTCTAGACCGCCGCCGCGCACCCGCCCCCAGACGCCGTCGCGATGAGCCTCAGGCGTATGTACTTATCTGGCCTTTCACGGACCATATCGGCTGACATTCAAATAGTGAGGCCAAGGGAACCAGGATCAAGGTCCATAATGTACATTACGACCTCACCGAGGAGGACCTCGGCGTACGTTGCCCACACTCTCCTAGTTGCTGTATGCTAATCTATCCAGGAACTCTTCCGCCGCATTGGACGCGTCCTCCGGCTGCAGCTGAAGTTTGACCGCGCTGGTCGCTCTGAGGGTATCGCCTTTGTCACTTACGAGCACCGGGATGACGCCGACGAGGCCGTTAAACAGTTTGATGGTGCTAATGCCAACGGTATGTCTTGACCTGCCTGCGCATCAAGATTTCGCTAACATGGCCAGGTCAACCTATCCGCTTAACCCTCCTCCCGAGCCGTAACCCTTTTGACACGGCTGTCATGCCCAGCCGTCCCCTCGCCGAACGCATTTCCGCTCCCGGCGGCCGCTACGCCGACGACGAGGCATCCCGCAGAGGCATTGACAGATATGTTCCCAATGGTCGCGAGGATGGCCGTGAGGGTGGCCGCGATCGCTCCCGAAGCCCCCGCGGCCCTCGCCGTCGCGGCGGTCGCCGTCCTGGCGCACGCCGTGAAGGCGTAGATAATGGCGGAGATGGCCAGGAGGGTGGCCGTGGTGGCCGTGGAAACGCGCGAATCAAGAAGACCCAGGATGAGCTCGACGCTGAGATGGACGATTATTTCACCAAAACCGAGGGCGAGGCGACCAACGGTGCCGGTCCTGCCGCGACGGCCGAAGGCACGGCTCCTGCTCCCGGTCCCGGCGACATTGACATGATTGAGTAAAGGGTTCCTGTTGTATTACATTGTATGGTTTTCGGGTTATCTTTAAAAACTCAGTGTGGTTGTTTCGTTTATCTGGAATGTTGTATTTGCCGAGTCAGTTTATTTCGTTGCCAACAAGCTTCGCCAGTGTGCTCATCAGCCACCATGCTGAAAGCTAGCCACTGATGGGACGTTGTCCTACCGATTATTCGTTTACAAGCATGTGCAAAATATACCTTGATATGCAGCACGCTATCGAGCAGGGTGTCTATTCCGCTCATCTACAATATCACAACCCCGTCGTTGGATGACCGGCACAATGACCCAACACAGCTCAAGGGTATATCTATATTTACAAATGCCCGCCAGCTGCTGGTGACAAAAACGCTCCAGGGGTATTGTCTAATTAGAATGAAAATAAAAATCGAGTATACACCAAAATAGGCTACCCCCCCTCTCCCCCATGTCCTTACACAGTCACAGCCCCATGGACGCCCACAGCCTCGACCCGGTTCACCAGCTTCTTCACATTGGTCCACTCCTCGTTCTTCAGGCCTTCTTTGCCGCCGAGCCCGCCGGCCACCTCAAATACGGTGAGGGCGCCGTCGATGCCACCGGTCGCGAGGCGACGGCCCTCGTTGGGCTCCCAGGCGACCTTGTTGAGGCTCTTGGCGAGCATGGTGCGGCCGTCGCGGCGGGGGCGCGGGGTGATACGCGAGACGGGCTCCTCGGTTTCCTTGCTGATATCCCAGAGCTCGAGCCAGCCGGCGCCGTCGACGAGCGCAAACACGCTCGGCTTGACGGGCGACCAGCGGGCGTCGTAGACGACATCCTCGCGCACAAAGTCAATGAGGGGCCGGATCAGGTGGCCCGCGTCGCCGGGCCCGCCCGTCGTCGAGGTCGCCGCCGGCGCACGCACCTTCCACAGCTTGACGCTCCAGTCGAGCGACGAGGACAGCACCAAATCACCCAGGTCGACGGGGCCGCGCGAGGGGTGGAAATCAACCGACATGACAGGCGCCGTGTGGCCGGCGTAGCAAATCTTGCGGTCGACGCCGGCCTTGGCGCCGGCACGGTCGTAGCGGTGGCACGGAAAAATGGTGCCCTCTTCGCTGCCGACGAGGAAGAAGGTCGGGTCGGTCGGTGGGAACGCGAGGCAAGTTGGACTGACGTCCTCGACGGCCACCTTGGCCTGCGCGGCGGGGTTCTTGAGCTCGAGGATCTCCTGCGGCTGCGCAAAGACGTCGGTACTCCAGCCGCACACGACGCCGTCGGTGGAGCACGAGATGATGTTGTGCGCGTTTTGCGTGCCAACAATGTCGACCGAGTAAATCGGGTGCGCATGGCCGAAACCTGTCAGCGGCGTCTTTTGCACCGGCGCCGCTTTGGCGCGCGTGTCCCAGAGCAGCACCTGGCCGCTGTACGAGCCGCCGATGATGAGGTTGGGGTGGTAGGGTGAAAACTTGGCCGTCAGAATGTCAGACTGCGCCGTAAAGACATATTCCGGCCGGTCGTGCATGTGCGTGTTCCAGACTTGTACGAGACCGTCCGGCTCGTGGGGTGCTGTCGGGTTCTTGGTGTACGACGCCAGCAGGAGCTCGCTAAATTTGGGCGAGAAATCGATGCTGCTTATCATGCGCTTCTTGGACCACCGTTCGTCATAAAACTGAGCGACTTCCTTTATCCGGGTCTGGCCGCGACCGCCTGTGTTGCCAGTCTCGTCGTCGTCCTCATCCAGATCCTTGCCCTGCAGGGAGTAGTCGGTGAGGATGTCGTACGTTTCTTGGTCTATGGCTCGTTCGATGACCTTGGTGGACTGCTCCAGAAAGTCCACAAAATCATCTGACCGGGTAACAGCCTCAAGCTCCTCTGAGTTCAGCTCTCGGATGGGGTAGTTGGTAGCAGAAGCTTGCTGCGCCTCGGTGCCGTCCGCCAGCCGTTCTCTTGCTGCCCTCAGCTCTTCTTCCACCTCGTCGCGGATCTTTTGGCGTATTTTTTCCTCGCGATCGCGTTCTCGCCTACTCAGTCTTTTCGACGGACTGGTTATGGAGCCTGGCGCGTCATCTTGGTCTGACTGTAGAGATTGCGCTCGTGGTCTCGATGGCGACGTCCATCCGTCGGTCGTCTGAACTCCTTTGCTGTATGAAAATACCTCTTTTACAGGCGAAGGAGGGCATTCGTAGACGGTAGTGAGGGGGACTGTGCTTAGTTGTATGGGTGGTGGTGGTGGTGCCGAATGTCCGCTAGGGGGCGCCGCGAACTCGGAGGTTTCGTTACTGATTTCGCCAGTACTCAGGACGCTGTTTGGGCGGCTGCCGCGAGGGGCAGGGGACGCAGCGCCGCCAGTAGTAGTCGACCCTGGACGGCTTTCGCCAACCAAGCTATTTATGAGAGATTCGATTTCGCGGCGGCTATCTGCTCTACCTGGCGTTGGCGATACAAGCTGTAGCGGCTGCGGTTAGCATCGCCATCTCGGCAGTTGCGCATGCAGAACGCACCTCGCCAGGGCTGCCCATGCTCTGGCGCCCCGCGGACGCATGGCTGGCGCGCAGCTCTCGTTGCCGCTTCAGCTCAGCGAGCTTCGCTTTCTTGGCGAGAATTTCATCGCGACGTGCTTGCATGATGCTGTTTGCTCTGGCCCATCACCAGCGACAAACGCGAATGGGGGTCCCTGGTGGGTAGTAGCGCCGTTGACGTGGTCTGTATTCTCGGAATTCTGTAGAGAGCTGTCGCGAGGTCTGAAGCAACTTCTTCCGGGCCGAGATGGGTTGAAAAAGGCGGGATAATAAAGTACAACATAAAGAGTGAAAGTTGTCAAGAGCCAATCCCTGGTTACAGGCGACTGTAGGTAGGCAGGCAGCCTAGCTCACAAGTGCTGGGCCACACTAATTAGCGCCACGGCAGCCCCTGGAAGCTCCGTGTTCCTGTGGCTGGTGCCGCTTCTCCAGTGGTGATTGTCACGTGATTCCAACCGCCAATTTTTGAGCCTGTCACCTTGGCCGAGCTTGATGGCGAGCAAGTGGAAAAACTGCGACTTTTCCCGAGGATAGCAAGCTTCTTCGCATCAACTCACCACGCACTCCTCCAGGACTCTGCGGACCGGGCCAATTGATCTCAGCCGACTACGCCAGTGTCTCTCCTATAATTCAACAAAGTTGCCGACCGCGACGCTCGAGTTTCTCGCCATGGCCTCGACAGGAGTTAATGTATGTTGCGCATCGCCAATTGCCCTGCTGGTTAGCCGGGGCCGTCGTCAGGCTCCCGGGTCCCAACTCGGCGCCGGATTTGGACGAGAAACAATCGCTCTACGGCATGCTGATACCGTCTCCTAGGTTCTGCGGTGGTCCGCCCTTGCCGGCGGTCTTTTCTACGGCTTCAGCCACCAGCGCGCCATCACGGCCACCCAAAAGGCCAACCACAGCAAGCACGAGTACGACCAAAAGGCGAAACTGATAGAGCAGGCCAAGGCCGAATATAACAAGCAGAAGAACCCGGCCGCGGCCTCTGCTGACAATGGTGCGTCTTGCGGCATTACTTTGTTGCCGGCGTCAATGCTGGCAGAGAGACATAGCAACGACGCAACACGTGCTAATGGATAATGTAGTCATCACCGACGTCAACAGCCCTCAGTTCGACCTCGAGAAGTTCTTGATCAAGGTGTCCAAGGAGAACCCTTAATTTAGCCCTGCGTGGGTGGTGGTGTTAGGGGAGCGAGAGCTGGCTCGACCAGGCCGGAAGGGTAATGCTGGGGTCGAAACTATTCGACAGATGCCTGAAGGCCATGCACAGGCCTGATGTATGATTTTAAGCACACTCGCGATGCTGCATAGAAGTTTCCTTGGGTTCGCGTTTACTCAATTGTACAGGTGTAAAATACGCGCAGTTAGACGGTACTAAGAGACCAAAAAAAGCAAAATATCATCTGCATTGACTATGCGGACTGGGCAGCGGCCCGGCGAACGTTCTCAAACCCAGAGAACTTGGAATAGTATGGGTTGTGAAGTTGTGAAGTTGTGAAGATGTGGTGTGGTAGTCAAGGTGGTGGAGGAGCGCCACTTTGGGCGCGTCACCAACATCCCATCCCGGCTTTGCATTACAGAACTACAGCTCAATGCAGCCGAGTAACTGAAAGAACAATTGACAATCGAATAATTCAATATCCATTGGCTAATTTATAGCTTTCAATTTGCAATTCAATAACAGAAGCGGGAAAAGCTCGGTTGGTGTACATCGGCGGACCCACAGCCCCCCTGCGTGGCATTACGCAGTTCTGGAGTCTGGACAAAGCTCCAAGCTGTCCTCAGCAGCTGGTGTGAGATCTGTGTGAACCTCCTCCATCAACATCCAGGTGCTCCAGAGTCCAGTCTTGCGCACCATGGCGGTCGAAAAACAGGGAACCGCATTGGATGCGGTCAACTCCCAGAGCTCAAGAGCTCTTTTGAGAACAATCATTCTTTTCTTGATTGCCGGCGCCGCCATTGCCAGCCGGCTCTTCTCCGTCATTCGTACGTCCCTCGACTTCGCTCGCGATGCGGTGCACATAACGCCCAGCCTACCATCATGGCCACTCCGCTAACATGACATGCAGGATTCGAGAGCATTATTCACGAGTGTCAGTCCACACGAAACCGGCCGCTGCCCGCTTGCCTTATACTAACAATATGTAGTCGACCCCTGGTTCAACTTTCGCGCGACCAAGTACCTCGTTGCCAATGGTTTCTACAAGTTCTGGGACTGGTTTGATGACCGCACATGGCACCCTCTCGGCCGCGTCACCGGTGGCACACTGTACCCCGGCCTCATGGTCACCTCGGGCGTCATCTACCACGCTCTCAAGGCCTTGACCATACCCGTCGACATCCGAAACATTTGCGTTCTCCTCGCTCCCGCCTTCTCCGGATTGACGGCGTTCGCCTCCTATCTCCTTACCAATGAGATGACTACTTCACCATCAGCTGGTCTTTTGGCTGCAGTTTTTATGGGTATCGCGCCCGGTTACATTTCTCGATCCGTTGCCGGCAGTTACGACAACGAAGCCATCGCTATTTTCCTGCTAGTTTTTACCTTCTACCTCTGGATCAAGGCCCTCAAGCTCGGCTCTATGCTTTGGGGCGCCCTTTGCGCCCTCTTTTACGGATACATGGTGTCGTCCTGGGGCGGCTACGCCTTCATCACATGTCTCCTGCCTATGCATGCCCTCGTTTTGATCTGCATGGGACGCTACACCACGCGTCTCTACGTGAGCTACACCACTTGGTACGCCCTCGGAACGCTTGCTAGCATGCAAATTCCTTTTGTCGGCTTCCTGCCCGTCAAGACCAGCGAGCACATGCCCGCTCTTGGTACGTCTAAGTGACCATGTATAACGCGGCGCCCTTTTAACAAGTCTCAGGCATCTTCGGCTTCCTGCAGTTCATTGGATTTATCCAGTATGTCCGTTCCGCCATCTCTGGAAAGCAGTTCCAGACGTTCCTGGCCACCTTGGTCATTGGCACGTTTGGCATTGGCCTCTTCGGCCTCGTCGCCCTCACCTCGCTCGGCTACATTGCTCCTTGGGGCGGCCGCTTCTACTCGCTGTGGGACACCAGCTACGCCAAGATTCACATTCCCATTATTGCCTCGGTCTCGGAGCATCAGCCCACTGCCTGGCCCGCCTTCTTCTTTGACCTCAGCATGCTGATCTGGCTGTTCCCTGCCGGTGTCTACATGTGCTTCAACGACCTCAAGGATGAGCACGTCTTTGTCGTTGTCTATGCTCTATTTGGCAGCTACTTTGCAGGTGTCATGGTCCGTCTCATGCTTACCCTCACTCCTGTAGTCTGTGTAGCTGCTGCCATTGCGGCGTCGCAGATTCTGGACTCGTACCTGTCTGTTGAGACACCCACCGAAGCCGAGGTTGAGAGCGCCGAGGCAGCTGCAAAAAATCCAGTCAAGAATGGCAGCCTCCGCGGAAGCGAGAGGCCTACGATTGGTATCTTTAGCAACGTGTCCAAGATTTCGGTTGTCTCGGCCATGACCATCTATCTACTGATGTTTGTCACTCACTGTACCTGGGTTACCTCCAACGCCTACTCGTCGCCGTCGGTCGTCCTCGCTAGTCGCATGCCTGACGGATCCCAGCACATCATTGATGACTACCGTGAGGCGTACCAGTGGCTGCGCCAAAACACAAAGGAGGATGCTAAGATTATGGCTTGGTGGGACTATGGCTACCAGATTGGTGGCATGGCCGACCGCCCCACTCTTGTCGACAACAATACCTGGAACAACACTCACATTGCCACTGTTGGCAAGGCCATGAGCTCCCGCGAAGAGGTCAGCTATCCTATCATGCGTCAGCACGAGGTTGACTATGTTCTGGTGGTATTCGGCGGTCTTCTCGGCTACTCCGGGGACGATATCAACAAGTTCCTTTGGATGGTCCGTATCGCCGAGGGCATCTGGCCCGACGAGGTCAAGGAGCGCAGCTTCTTCACGGAGCGCGGCGAGTACCGAGTGGACGAGGGTGCCACTGACACGATGAAGAACAGCTTGATGTACAAGCTGTCCTACTACAACTTCCACACCATGTTCCCTCCTGGTCAGGCCTCTGATCGCGTCCGTAACGTCCGCCTGCCGAGCGAGGGCCCCGTCCTCAACTCGCTCGAGGAGGCCTTTACCAGCGAGAACTGGATCATTCGTGTGTACAAAGTCAAGGATCTGGACAACGTGGGCCGTGACCACGCCGCCGCCGCGGCGTTTGCGCGTGGCCAGAAGAAGAGGAAGGCGTCCAAGAAGTCTGGACCCCGCCTTCTGCGCGTTGATTAGATAAAAACACAATTCATAGAGGCATGGATTTGATTGGTGACAAAATTTACACGGATGGGAGTTACTACGTATGCCAGAGGGGTATATAGGAATGTATATCAATTGTATGATTTGCTTGATCAAGAGACTGCATGAGTTGACGCGCCACCCATCACCGGCGTGTTGACGGCCGTTGCGCAAACGGCAGCTGGCACGCCCACGTTTGCAAACGCGGCAGCTGCTGAAAAAGATGACTTTGCCTCGCCCACCAGCATCACTTGCCATTCACTTTGCCTTTCTGTCTTGAAAATTTCGTCGCCGCATGGTTTTTCAACCCGTGGAAATTCATTCACCTTTCATGCTTTATTGTCGCTACCACAAGCTCACAGTGATGATTGCCAATTGAGCTTTCCGACCTTTGCTAACCATCACCATGGCTGGCGGCACCCAACGGCAGCCCATCGCAACCGGCAACGGCGTCTTATTTGAGGTTGTCTTGAAGAATGCCGACCCCCGAAAGAAGCCCACCCACGGCCTCTCCCTGAGCTACGGCGGGCAGATGTACAGCTGGCCCGGCGCGGCCGTGTCCATGGGCTCCGTCCATACCGTCGACACGGACGACGACGAGAACCCAAGCGAGCCGCGAGGCCAAGAGAAGAGACGCAGCCGGGACTCTTGCCCATCTCGGTGCCTGAAGAAGAGCCCTGGGCGGTCTGCTCAGAAGGAGGCCGCTCCGGTGCTCACGGCGTCGCCAAAGAAGCTGCGGAGGAGCCGCACGCTCTCGCCCTCGCACCAGTCCCGTACCCGCGCCCTCTTTGCGCCGTTGTCCGCTCTCTCGCGCAAGCTATCCGCCCGCCGGCACAGCTACGACGAGGACGAAAAAACGAAGCGGGAGAAGCGACAGGAGAAGACTACACCACCGCCGGAGCAGAGACCAGCTGTGCGCACTCTCCCCCAGGGCTTCTTCCCGCCACCGCACGTCGCCTACCAAAACCCAGTGCCAATGTATCACCACGTACCGGCACCCGTGTTTGCAACGGCACCAATCCAGTATCCCACAGCACAGGGCACGTCAAGCACCGCACCGCAGTGTCCGCCCGAGTTGCAGCAGCTGCAAGGGCGCATCAATCACTTTGCTGCTGTTCTGGCCGCAAACCCAATCGATCTGCTCGCCAAGCGGGAACTGGACCGGCTGACGGCGGAGCGCAATTCCTTTCTCGACACCGCGACCAAAAGTACCGTGCCGGCGGCCCCCCTGGCCCCCATCAAGGAAGTTAGGCCAACGACGGACAGCATCCCCTCCATCGCGCAACAGCAACCGGTCGTCCACAACCCAGTCAGCCACGAGTCGACAGCGGTCAGTGCCAGCTATGCACCCAGAGACATGACTGCTTCCCCTGAGCAGCAGCATATTTGCTCCGGCTGCGGCGAGATGCGCTCACTCAGCTTCCACCGAAAGCACCCCTTCGCTAAACCCGTCCACAACGTCTGCCGCAAGTGCCGCGAGGGCGGCCGTCGGCGCCGCGCTGCGCCGCCCGTCATGAGCCGCTACCACTTTTGCGACGGCTGCGGTATTGTCCGATCCAAAGAGTACCACCGCCGTCGCGGAAGCGCCAACACGACGTCCGTGTCGATGCGGTCCAAGATTTGCCGCAAGTGCCACGCAGATGGCCACCATGTAAGTTGATTGGACCCTTGCTTCTCCTCCATGAAATGATCACCACTGACAGCAAACAGCAACGCCAAACACCGGACAAGACAGCTCGCGAGTACAAGAGCCTGACCAAAGACGGGAAGCACAGCGAGTCCGTTGCGCTCAAGCCAGCTTCTCGAAAGGAGCCACTCGCGGAGCCCTCCACAGCCCGGCGCAAGCAACCACATGGTTGCGAGGATGACCTTGGAATTCCTGTTTACGACGGCGTCTCTGATTGGCACTCATCTACTCCAATGTCTGCAGAGACCAACACTACCTCCTACCCTTGCGCCAGAGATGACGCCTTTGCGACCTACCGCTCGCCCGAAGTCAGCGAAGAGGACGCCAGCTCCCACCAGCCCGCCTCTCTCCAGAGCAGTTTCCGGTCCTCTGGCCGCGACTCGCCTGCTTTCCGGGACTACACTGCTCCAGAAGCCTCCCTCACCGATGCAGCGTCCGAGACGTCGTCACTGCACACACCACAGGACACCAACCCGTGCAGCAGCACAAACCCGTACTACCAGCCTCGCGGCACCACCGGCCGGCTCTCCTCCCCGTTCCTCTACGCAGAGCCTCGAGCGCCCCAGCCCTCCGCAGTCCGTCCCTCCTCCCCTCGCGACCCCGCCTCTCCCCCCTCGGCGCCTCGTTCCGGGATCAACTCGCCCCCGCGGCGGTTCGTCGACCGCAACCAGTCCTGGCCGGGGAACCTGCACCTCCCGCGCGGCTCCCCCACTTACACCACCACCCGCAAGGTGTCCGCGTCCGACGGCGCGCCGAGCCCAACGTTCCTCGACCCGGCGCGCTTCACCACCGGCGCTTTCAGCAGCAAGAGGCGCCCGCCCAGCAGCAGCCCACCCGCGTCTCCCTGGGCCAGCTTCAGTGGACCTATACCCCATCCCGGAGGCTCCGAGCCGGGCAGCAAGGGTGTCTTTTATAACGAACCCAGCAGCAGCAGCACCACTACCACCACCACCACGCACTGGGACGAGCAGCAGCCGCCGCCGACGACGGCCTAGAAATCCGTCTTTGCCCGCTACCATAACAACAACAACACGCCAACAGCCTCAGAGCCGGCCGTCTCACCCATCGCCGACCACCACCCCGCGTTTCCGGGTCGCTTTCGCCGGCCCAAGTCCTTTTCCGGACGTGATCCGGCGACGTCCGCCAGCGGTGGCACCGAGTTTGCGTCGACTCGCGGCGCGTGGAACATCAACACGCGCGGTGGTGGACAGGACGAGCATGTGCCTGAGCCCATCATCGAAGAGCCCTCGTCGCCTCTGGCCAAGTCGCCCGTGACGACACCACTGTTGCTCGGTACGTGACCTCCCTCTTCTCTCCCCAGTACAATCTGCTTCATACCACATCGTACCCCTTGTTTTCTAACTGTCCCGGCGACGAAAAGAATTTCATCTTGAAGAGGACTTGTCTGACTCGGGCGTCGAGTTCCTCACAGGATCGTCCTCGCCGTCTTGCTTGTCCGGAGACGACAACAGCAGCCTACTCGCTTCGCACCTCGCCGTGCTCTAAGCACACACGATCATAAACCAACACCAAACCACATCCCTTGCGAAAGAGAAAAAAGAAAGAAAATTTATGCTTACTTCGACACACTCCAAAAAAAAAATCATTCTTGTTTTGCCTACACTGACATCTTTTTGTTCCTGCAAACTTGTCCTTTATTCTTTTGCTCTCCCTTTTTCTAGCGCTGCCCCATGTCGGACCATTCTTACACAACAACCATTGTCTTTTTTTTTACACCTCTTTTCTTCTTTTTCCCTTTGCTGTTTTATCTTTTGTCTTTTTTACACAGCTGTTATTTCCCTTTTTGCTTTGTTTTTTTACCCACCCCGGGAAATGACTGGACGAAAAAAAAAACGGCGGTTATGCTTATGAGAGAATGAACAACAAAACGGCAACATGTACATGACGAAACGATGGACCAAGAAAAACCTGGCGTGGGAAGAAAAGGGTTACCGAGCTTGTCACTTTTTTTTGTTAGATACCATCTTATTATATCCACGCTGTGGTTGTATTGAAAAATGCTACTTTGCATGCATGCTTATTTCTAAAAAAAAAAAGGCGCTGACCAATTCTTCTTGTAATCTTGTCCAACCTCGATCCTTTCCCGTGATACCAACAAATACAAAAAAAAACAAACAATAGAAACCAAGACAACAATGCCGCTTTTCTCTCTCATAGCCCCCCGATCTCTTCAAACTAGAAAATAAAAAAGTGTAGTGGTGATTGTAATTGCAGGTTGTTGTATGCAATCCCTTGTATACTCCATCTCCCTTGTATACTTTATCTCCCTTGTATACTCTATCCCAAAAAAGGCTACTTGCCTACCACCTCGGGACTCTCATCGTAGAATCTCCCATCCTTCCCCCCGTCGTCGTCGTCGTCGTCGTCGCCGGGGAATGCCGTCTTGACGCTGGTGCCAGCGGCTGCCTCGACGCCAGATACGCCACCGCGCGCATTCTCGCCTCCTCAAACCGCACATTGCGCTGCCTCTCCCTCTCTACATAGCGCCTCCTCTCCGCCGTATCCGCCGCGTCCTTCCTCCTCATCCGATTCTTGGGCCGCTGCGCTTCGAACCGCTGACAGCCGCTGTTGAGCTTGCGTGCCACGTGCGACGTCGCCAGCTCCAGCGAGGTCGACGTGCGCCGCACAGCCGATCCTCCCCAGTTGCAGCGAAACGTCAACTTCGTCTCGCTTCCATCCGTGCCGGACCCATCGTGCCAAATCACAATCGAGTCGCCGTCAAACAGTCGCGTCCAGTGCGCAGACGGATCGTGCGGGCTCTTGAAACTTGAAGAGGTGAGCGACCGGCCGTTGATGCGGATGCCGTTTGTCGCCTTGGTGGAAATCCAAAAGTGAAAGGCCTTTTGCTCCGCGTCAGACAGGTTCGCCCGCCACGGCAGCTCAAACTTGCCCGGGTCGTAGCCTTCCTTCCAGAGCAGCACTTTGAACGCATACTTGGGCACCTTGGTCACCGCCTTGTGCTCGTACACCTTTGTATTCTCCGGCCCGCGCCCAAACGACACGAGCGGCTCAGTGATGGGGATAGAAATGTCGCGAATGCATGAGGCCGGGTCGCTCTCCATCATAGCCGCCATTTCCGACGTGGCAATGGGCACCACCAGCTGCGAAAAGGGCGGCGGCGCGTCTTGCGAGCTGCCGTCGGGGCCTGTCGCGGGATACCTATCGTTCCGCGACGACGTGGTCGGCTGTTGCGAGTTGGGCCGCGGCGTCGGCGGAAAGTACTTCATGGCCAGCGCCCACAGTGGCGTCATGCCCGGGCGAAAGACCTCGCCGCGGTGGCTCGCCGCGTCGTTGAACTTGGCCAGCTGCAGCTCCGTCATTTCGGGGTAGTCGAGGTGCCACGAGGCCACGTCATCGGTCCAAAACTGGCCCTTGATGACCGGCCAGTCGTCGCCGGAGCGGCCCGTGCCTAGGGAGGGAATGGGCGGCACGCTGGCCAGCAGTTTGTACTCGTCCGCCATCTCATCACTGATGAGGCCGGCGTCCACGTGGCCCTCGGACCGCAGTCGCTTGATCGTCGGCTTTCCGGGAGGCGTATTCTCGTCAAACTCGTCGCTCGTCTCGACAGACGGGGGCTTTCGCTTACTCGTATTCAGGTCCAGCGACGTCATGGACCGGTGGGGCGAGGACGGGCTCTTCTTGATCTTGGTGTCGTCGCCCCCCAGGCTCTGGGAAGCAACCTCCTCCACAAGACTCTGCAGCTGGTCCATCGACTGGTTACGAAATATGGACAAAGACTCTACGTTTTGCCCACCGCCCGCGGGACTTCTGTCGTAAAAGGACTCTGCCGAGTTGTACGCCTCGTCCAGGTTCGGATCCGACATGCCAGGAAGGGGTAAATTGCCATTGCCAGGGACCAAGTTCAGGTACTCGTCCGGAATAACGCCCGAGCTACCAATCGCCGAGACGCCCACCTCCCCAAACAGCCGCTGCTGCTGTGCCGGTCCTCGTCCCGGCACAATCGTAGGATTTTCCTGATCCGAGTCCTCATCCATTGAATCGCTCACCCGGTCCTCGTCGTCGTACCGTGCCTGGGAAAACTGCGACGCCTGACCGGGAAAGTCTTCATCGTCCGTCACGTCGTCAAACGACTGCGACGCCTCAATCGTCTCCCCAAATGCCATAAGCCAGGGATGACCTTGCAGTTCGTCGACCGTCGCGCGGTGCTCCGGCCTCCTCGTGAGCATGGCGCGCAAAAAGTCAACACCTGCCTCCGAGATGCCATACTGCTGCAGGGGCGTGATATTCAACGGCGTCGTCATGACGCGGTGCAGAAGCTCCGACGGGCTCGTGACGGAGCGGGCCGGGTACGGCGCGGCCCCTGTCATACAGTAGAACAAGACGCCGCCGAGGGACCAGATATCAACGGCGTGGCTGTACCGCTGGCCCGGGGCGCGACGCGAGGGCCTACCGCGCGTGCGGAACCCATTCTCGTCGTACTCTAGATATTCCGTGTAGACTTCGGGCGCGCAGTACAGCAGCGTGCCACAAAAGGTACGCAGAAACGTCTGCTCGCTGTCAATCATCTTGGACAGGCCAAAGTCGGTGAGCTTGACCTCGAGCGGCTCCAGCGAGTTGATAAGGATGTTGTCGGGCTTGATGTCGCGGTGGGTAATGTTAAAGTTGTGCAGGTAGCGCAGGGCAGACAGGAGCTGGACGGCGAGGACCTGCGTGGCCTGCTCGTTGAGTGGCCCGTGGGCGGTAATGAGCTTGCCCAGATCGCCCTGCGGGACAAATTCCATGATGATGATGAATAAGCGCTCGTCCCAGTCGAAATTCTCAATATATCGTACAATGTTGGGCTGTCTCTTGGCGTTAGCAAACACGTCTAGTCTCAGTCTGCACAACGTCGGCCAAGACATGGGTGGCTTACATGATTTAGTCGCTGCATGATGCGCATCTCGTTTTCCACCTTTTGGTCCAGCACGCCGTTCTTGATAAAATGGCGCTTCTCGAGCTCCTTGGCGGCATACGGACGGCCATCATATTTCGCCGTCACCTTGTACACGACCGCAAAGGCGCCCTTGCCCACCGAGCGCACCTTGTTGTACTTGCCTGAGCCCGTCCACTCCCGCGTGCTCGTCTGCTTGACCATGCGCGGAGCCGCCATCTGCGTCGTCACGCCCTGCTGCTGCTGCTGCTGCGGCGGCGGCCGCCGTGTTGTCAGCGGTTGTCCCGCCGTCCGAAACAAATCAAGATGATCCGTCGGCGCCTCCACCGCCGCCATCGGGGGATTCACGGGAGGCGCGCCGCCCTCCATGGGCAGGCGATGGCGCTGGTAGTACTCCAACACCTTGTGCTGGTATCTCTCCTCGTAGGCGCCCTCGCGGCGGGGAATGCGCACGCGAAACGTCAGGTCCCTCGCCTCATCGTGCAAAAAAATGTTAATGACGGAGCCCGACGACAGCACCCAGCGGCTGGCCTGCTGCGGCCCCGGCTTGGCGCGGGCCGAGAGCAGCTTGCTGTCGACAAAGGTGCCGTTGGTGGACTGGTCCTCGACCATGATGTTGCCAAACTCGTTGACATAGATGCGGAAGTGAATGTTGCTGACGCGGCGCAGCGGGTCGTTGGCAAAGACGACGTCACAGCGGCCCGGGTTGCGGCCAAAGGCGAAGCCCGCCGGCGGGTTCTTGGGCGCCGTCGACAGCCGCAGGATAATGGCGTGGGCGCTACCTCCGGCGTTGCTGCCGCTGCCGAGCGTGTGCGAGTCAAACTGGCTCGCGCGGTCGTCGAGGTCGTGGCTCGTCTCGACGCCGTCGGCCGCGTCCCGGCCTATGATGAACGGCGACCCGTCGCGCACCAGCCGCTGCACCTCTTGGCGGGCCGACGCCGAGTGCGGGTACAGGATACATACAATGTCGGATATCTCGTCGTCGGTGAAGCCCGTGTTTTGCTGGCCCACGCGGCGCGGGTCGACGATTTGCTGCGTCGCCGCTGCGGGTTGTTGTCAGTAGGTGCTGGTCTGAGTGGGTGTACCGGGCGTACCTTGGGTTGGCTCCTCGCCGTCCATCGTGTTCTGTGGGAGTAGCAGACGAAGCGGATGGGACTGTGATGGGATTGCAATTGTCGAGGTCGTAGGGTTGACGGAGTTTTTTGCTCGACAAGTCCAGATGGCTGCCTCCCCAGCCAAGGCAAGGGGGGGGGGTAAAAGGGCACCAAGCACCAAGCGACACCAGCAAGGAGGCGCCGACTCTCTTGTTGGAAATTCAAGGGGAAGAAATGTCGGGCAATTATATCATTGCTCAGCCAATGTCCGTTTGTACGACTGAAAAGGGGAATAATAAACAAGATGCCCTGATCTCTTGTGTCTGTTGTGCAACTTTGGTGGTCTGGAGCTCCCCAGCACGGTTTGGAAGCAGTTGTTCTGGAGCAGGATGGATTGGTTGCGGTTGGCGGGTGGCGGAAGCGGGTGGGTGGGCTAAAAAATTGGCGGGGTTGCTGTGCCATGGTTTCTGCCTGGAGAAGGCGGGACGGCTCGACCGTTGAAATGGCAGTCAACGTTGGCAAGGATTTAGGTACTTGGTCACAAGAGCGAAAGAAAGTACACACACAATTGGGGGCTGCTCGAATCAGTGCCAAGACGTTGGAATTGCAGTCCAACGCTAACTAGTAATTACCAAGGATCTGGGTACTTGTCACAGCAGAGAAAATACACAATTCATCAGTGGTCGGTCCTCTGTCTTGTCCATGCGCCACACTCAGACGCCACATCGTCACATATGGAAGTCTACAGCCACAGTAAAGAATAAACCATCGCCATCACCAACAATTTCATGCGCATACCAACAGATGTGAAGTTGTCATGCGCGTCAAGTATTTTTTAGTCTATTACGCCAAAATAAAACAAGCTGATTCTCGTCAAACCCCAAAATAAACAAGAAACAAGACTGCAGCAACGCCATTGTAGTATGCTTCCCTGCACACACAGTTCCCATCCATCATCATTCATTCAACCCGGCGGTTTGCGCCGCTCGAGTGCGTAGCCAAATCCACTAGAAAGCCTGGCCTTGATAGGACTGCTGCTGCTGAGGGGGCATCGGCCGTTGCCCCTCTCCGGGCGGACTTCGCATCGGACGCGAGAAGCTGCCTGGTGGCGGTCCTTGCGGTCCTTGCGGTTGCGGTCCTTGCGGTCCTGCGCCGCCGTTGGGCGTGTATGGCCGTCCGGGGCCGGGTCCGTAACCGCCAGGAGGGCCGCCGTGATGGGGCGGTCGGGAAGCTCCAGGGCCAGAAGGGCCTGTCGGGGCCCGCATCTCGCTGTAGGCATCAATAATATCATCAGCAGAAGGAGGCGGGCCACGGTTGGGCGGCGGTCCTCGTATGGGCATAGGCTTGCGGTGCATGGGTCCAGCACCGGGCGGGCCACCAGGGCCTCCCGGACCGCCGGGGCCACGGGATCCTGGTACGCCGGGTCCGGGTCTATAGTTATCTTGTCCTGGTCCGCCAGGCCCAGGTCTAAAATTCTCTTGTCCGGGTCCGCCAGGCCCAGGTCTAAAGTTCTCTTGTCCGGGTCCGCCAGGCCCAGGTCTAAATTTCTCTTGTCCGGGTCCGCCAGGCCCAGGTCTAAAGTTCTCTTGTCCGGGTGGCGGTCGGCCGCGTCCTTGGCCGGGACCAGGAGGTGGCCCTTGGCCCGGGGGATAAGGTGAGCGACGTCCCTCGGCCGTGGGAGGACGACCACCTGGTCCTAGACCGGGACCCATACCAGGACCCATGCCCGGGCTCGGCGGTCCGTATGGTGAGTTGGTTCGGTTCGGGCCTGGGCCTTGAGGAACGCTGAGAGAAGGCGGCGGCTGTCCGGGGCGACCCTGAGGGCCGGGTCCCATGTACTGGCCATGCGGCGGTGGAGGCGGACCGTTGCTGCCAGGCATAGGTTGGCCGTCGAGCTCGTTGGCGTATGGTTGGTTTCTAGCCTCGTGCATCTGAGCCAGGGTAGAGCTGGAGAGTCGGCTATTAGCGCGACGGAGCTCCGGCGAGTGGTAGGCCTTGTTGCGATCTTGAGGGTTGTGGTTGAATGCGGGTGGGCGGGAGACGGGTTCGGGTGTGTTCATGCTGCGCATTATTTGAGGGGTGGCGCGGCCATCTTCCATGCCGGCCAGTTCTTGGGGATAAGGAGGTCTATTGGGCATAGGACCCCCGGGGCCGCCAGGGCCACCGGGAGGGCCAGGAGGGCCAGGAGGGCCAGGAGGGCCAGGAGGACCGGGGTAGGCTCTGGCGTTGGCATCCTGGCACGAGAGATATTAGCTTCCAAGAGCCTTTTAGCAGGCGGCGATGACTGGAGCACGTACCGAGCCCGGCTGTTGCCAGTTGCCTTGGGCCTCAGGGGGGGCGGAATCGGTTCTTGGGCCGCCGTTGAGGGAATGGGAGCGCGACGATCGGCTGGACGCGCCGTCGTCAGCAAAGCCAACCTTGGGTCGCAGGCCGCCCATGGGGCTGTTGGCACTGTTGCGGCCAGTGCGGGCACCTCCTTCCTCAATGGCATTCATGCGGGTGCCGGTAATCTCCTTTAGGCGCTTGCGCCACTCGCGCTCGTTCCAGCTGGAGCTGCCCTGGTCGTTGATGAGGCCGGCAACGTCGAGAATCTCGAGGTAGCCGTAGCGCTTGTGCTTGGGCATGGCGAACATGAGGGAGCGCTGATCGAGGACGCTGGCAACAAGGCGGGCAGGACGACCGTAGAGACCAAATGTGTCCCAGGTAGGTATGAGGTTACGTAGCAGCATTTCGAAGCCGCTGACCATGGGGTGGATCTCGGGCATGACAAAGACGAAGCCCTCGGTGGAGGAGGGAGGTGCAGTGTGTATGGAGACGTTGCCCTCAATCTTGATAAGGGTAGAAGCATCGACGAGCGACTTGGCCTGGGGGTAGATGGCGTAGGCAGCATAGGCGTCGGTGATGGAAGCAATGGGCTGGAGCTTCTTCTGCTTCTTGCCTTCCTTGCGCTGGTCATAGAACTTGATGTCGCCCTTGAGGGAGGGGGCTGAGGACCGGTCGTAGGCGGAGCGCTTCTTCATTTCCTTTTGCATTTTGGCGAACTCCTTTTCGTCAGGAGGGGTGATGACGCACCAGCAGCGTCTCCAGGGTACACCGGCGCCGAAGCGGACTCGGACCCAGGATTCCGTGGCAAAGCGGGAGCGCTCGAGAATGACGTTGATGTTGTTGAGAGTCTTGCCCTTGCCAGCAATGAGGGCGCCGGTGTATGCCTCTTGGAGGGTAGAGTGCTCGTACATGGCGAGGCGAATGCCAGCAGTCCATTGGACGAGGGAGTGATGCGAGTTGAAATGGAGGAGGTATCGGTTGCGGCCAGCGGTTGAGATGCTGAGAATATTTTGCAGTGGTTGCTCGTCCTTGGAGCGGGTGGGAAGGGACTCGATCTAGGTGGCGGTGTTAGTAAGGGTAGGAGGTGGTGGTGAGGGTAGGAGATGGTGGTGAGGGTGAAGCGCATCACATGCAGCTGGTGCGGGCCAAGGCACGCTGTGGTGGGTTGCTAGTAGGGGTGCGAGGAAGTCGAGGACATACCATTTTGATCGAGGCATCTGTGAGGTTGACGAATTTGGGAAGGACCTCGCCATCCTCGCCGGCAGCATCAAGCTCGGCGGCGTCCCATAAGGAGAGGACGGTGCCGACGAGCTGGGCAAAGCATTCTGTCCACGTTCGGTCGGCATTGGGTTTGCCCTCTGTGGAAGGGGAGGGTTAGCAGGTTGCGTTGCATTTGCGGGTGGACGTGGTTAGATTGGATAGGAGAGGGAGCGTGCGCCGCGGCGGTGCAGAGGACTTAGTAGGGATGGCGGGGTTGTTGCGGGGGGAGGGAGCGCTGAAGCGGCCAAGGGGGGTGATACGTACGTGTATTTTGGTCGTCGAGTTTGAGAAAGTAGCCCTCCTGGTAGAGCTTGTTGGAGTGGGAGTTGAGAAAGGAGAAGACGGGCTGCAGCTCCGGGATGGTATCCTCGGTGATGTCCATGAGAGGCGGCTGGTAGGAGTTTATGGAGAGCGGGCGGGAGGCGCTGCGCTGACGCTTGTGAGGGGGACTGTCGGGGCCGTCCGAGTCTACTGTGCCATAATCCGGGTAGTTGGGCGGCGTAGGGGGGAGGTTGAGGCCGATGTGATGGTCCGGAAAGGCCTCGTTTTTGGCGGCGGCGGCGGCAATAGGCGAGCTAGACGGAGGCGAGGCGGCCGGCGTGGGCGGACTCTTGGAGCCAGAGAATTGGGAGACGAAGGAGAGGACTGCGGATGCGGGTTGATGTTAGCAGATGGGGTTGTGTGGAGGATTCGTCGATTCGTCGAGGAAGGTCTTTGTCGGTGAGGGGAGAGACGAATGGGAGCGGATGATGGGGGGAAAAAAGGAGAGAAGATAATAGGGATGATGCGTGGATGTGCGAATTGTGTATGGTGATGGTGGCAGTAAGCGGCAAGACAAGCAGGTGTGGCAAAGGCACAGCGGCAGGCGAGCAGACGAGCAGAGACGGGGCGGGAGCACGAGAGATGTGGGCACTGTCAGAGGGGCCGCGGTGGCCGGAGTGGGGAGCACAGAGCAGCTGAGGGAGATTGGCGGACTGGCAGGACTGGGAGTGCCTGCAGAGTGCGCAGTGTGCAGCTGCAGAATGTTCAGCAGGGCTCATCAGCAGGGCTCATCAGCAGGGCTCATCAGCAGGGCTCGTCAGCTCAGCAGGCACTGACACTGACACTGACACACTGGCTGACCCGCTGGAAAATAAAATTCCCGAGAGCCAAGCGACACCAGCCTCGCCCAAGGAAGCACTGCCACTGGGCGGCCAGCCTTGTTTTTTTTGGCGGCGGCATGGCCAAGTCCCAACCACCTTTGCCCAGTCCACAACGCATTCCACATGGTGCACCGAGTGACCGCACTCGCAGTCACCGCCTGCAAAACCACTGCAAAATACCCGCAAAGCCGTCAAACCAGACCAAACATGCAAACTTGCGTTGGCTTGCAAAATAGCCTGCTCCTGTCCTCAAAACTCATCTCGTCGCTGGAATGGGCACATGCAAAAGGTAGGTACGTACCTCTGTTGCGGCCCATGGCTGTGGTGTGTGCGGTGTGTGCGGTGTGTGTATCGGTGTCGTCAAGTAAGAGGTACCTAGGTCGGTATGGTACAGTGGTGTAGGTAGGTAGGTAGTAGGTATGGATAATACCCTAGTGCTGTTGTCCGACCCAAACTTTATCGTTGCTTGCCAAAACGTCTTTTGGCCTTTTCTTTCGTCTTTTTCGTCTTTTTCGTGCCTTTTTTCTTTCGAGCTGGGGTATAGGAGGAAGAGAGAGTGAATAAATCCAGAATATGGCAAAACTGGCAACGTGAAATCGGGGGCGAAGCTCGTAGTTTAAGTGCGCAAGACGGAGCCGCAATGGACAAGGATGCACCTGCTGTTCGTAGCGCCGTCCGCTAGTTAGTTCGGCGGACCCGGGACCTGCGGAGATTGTTTTGGCTTGGTGCTGCTCCTGGCCTCTCCAGAGTCTCAGCGCGGCGCCTTGGCAGTTGTTCAGTTTCAATGAGCGTGGTAATACCGAGTGGAAACCTCTTTCCCAAAACAGTGGTGCAAGCCGGTAAGAAATCCTAACAAGTAAGGTGTTACTAGTTAGCTGGGCTCTTTCGTGTCCCAAGGACGGCTCGGAAGTAAAGTTGAAGACAAGACAGAACAAAAGAGAAGAGAAGAGAAGAAAAGAACAGAACAGAAAAGAATAGATAAAGCCAGTGTCTGATTGACGGCAACGACATACTCCGGCACCAATGCAATGCCAAGAGCCACTGCCACTTGCGCGTATATCGTACGTCGCTGACACGAACACGCCCAGGCAGGTAAGACGGGCGCTAACAAAGGTGACGCTGACGGCAGCTGGCGCCGACCAATTGCCAGCATGGCAGTATTCGTTACAAGAACCGCGCAATGGATGGATGGAATGAATGGAGAATGGAAAAGCCTGCGCACCTTGGGATATCAGATTGAGCCTAGCTTTTGGCTCTCTTGGATCGAGGTTGATATTGTATATTGTACCTAGGGAGGTACGTAGATGGGCGAGGTAAAAAAAGAAGGAAACTCAAATCAGGTCCCTAATAACCTTAAAATACATAGGTAACAAGACGGATGGATCTTGAATTCCTTCTCTCCTCTTTTCTAGTTTTTTGGTCTTTCATCCTTTTTATCACCCGCTCCTTTCCCCAGCCAGCTTTCCCACTTTCCAGATGGAAAAGTGTACTACGTCACCGACAAGCAATGGATGGGCTGGGGCACACACACACAAGCGAGCGACGAGCGAGTAATGAGACTTTTTTTTTTTGTCTCCCTTCCATTTGCTCCGGGAAAAACGGTGCCAAGTTCCAAACCTGTGCATGTCAAAACCTGGCATGTCAAAACCTGGCATGTCAAAACCTGTGCATGAAGAATAAAAATACATTGATTGGCAAACGGCAATGCCCAACAGTTGGACGGAATGGTCCAGGTCGCGCAAGGGGTTGTTTTACCGGGGTTTGGGCGGCTGCTGTGACATGTTACGGCATCCATCTCATCCAAGCAATCTTGAAATCTGTTGCAGATGGTTGGAAACGACTGGACCAAGAAAACTCCAGGCAAGAGTGCATAAAGGCATAAAGGAACCCTCTTCTCACACCGTGACTTGTTCATGCAACCAGCCGCCTATCATTGCTGCGGGGAAGCATTGCAAAGAAAAAAGCCCCGAGCTTTCCGGCGAGGGGGAAGGTCTGATTGATCAGTGAAGTTGGGTGTATGTGTTATAGGTAGGCGCCCGTTACGTACTGGTTGGTAGGTACGTACCTGGTACGTACCTTATGTACTTTACTCGCCGCGTGGCACTTGATCGCACGACGGACAAGGCCCATCACTCGGGCGCTAAATAGACCCCATTCACCCCATTCACGGCATGTGTAGCCGTCTGGCTGGTTCTTTGGATACCCATGCCTACTGCGACTGGCTGGATTTTGGATACAGATGCCCATCTGCGACCGACTACCAGCTGGGATGATTGGGCATCCATCATCCATCCATTGACATTGACGAGCACATCATCCACGACTCGCAACCTCCAACCACCGGCTACCACGGCGCTGCCCCAGACAGTTTGCGTTTGCCCCCTGATCGTTTCCCTTTTCAAACAAGCATGAATCTTGACGTCTTTTTTTTTTTGCCTCTCTTTCCCCAGACACTTTATTCATTTTATTTTTTTCATATTTTTTTCATAATCATAAATTCATGCCGAGTCTTTTTTTACCCACCTTGCTCTTATGCTCTTACCGCTTACCGCTCGCTCGACTCTTCTCTCCCCGTCTGCGCCACGTATGCAAAATCCAATAGTCCATGACCCAACCATGACAGCGTCCATCCACCCACTGTCGGAAATACCCAGCAACCCGTTTGCCCGTGGCACAAGCTCACTGGCGCGCTCTTGGCAGAATGCGCCTCAACCTTGGCCCCGACGCAAGCAATCGCTGATGCTGCCAATGCACCATGCCAAGCAATCCGCACTCCATACAAATTACACTTCTTTGCCTTGCTCTTTGCATCTGTCGCACCAGCCTTTGCGCGTACCAAGGCACAACCGTCTAGGTAGCATTACTATGTACATTGTGCTACTGGGCTGTGAGGCTTGGCCCCTCGCTTGTCTCCGTCTTTGCTGTCTTTGCTGGCCGTATTCGTAGTTTCTTTATACGCTAGACCTCTTGCAAACTCGTAACAAATCTCACTGGAATTTACCAAGCACGCTTCCCCAGTATGCGCTCATCGTTTGTTTTTCCACACATGACGTCCCTCGTCCAGGGCAGCATCTTGCCATCGATCCCTCCCCCACTACCCTACATTTTCTACGAGCTTGCGTGTCCGCCGGCGGCTGGCGCAAGAGATGCATGGTTGCGCTCACCATATGGGCATCGAATCTGTTTGTCTTGCCCCGTTTTCCAACACTGCCATCAAGTCTGAGCTATCTCTCATGTATTCGTCATGTACCCCAATGCTAACCTGGATATTGTCTTTTTCGTCACTGATCAAATTGTGCCTTTTTCTTAAATTTGTTCTAGTGCAACTAGCATCAGCCACTGAACCCTCTACCAACCAGCCATGGAATGGCGCAAAAGCCACCTGTTCTCGCACCCCGCTTGGTGGCAACCTGGCCGCGCCATCATACAGATGACTTGCTCAAGAGGGTAACGTTAGTTGCCGCCGTTGCAGATTTGAATACTTGAACAAACGCCACAGTTGACGATACGTTGCTTCATGACCAGCGCGGCGTACCGACACGTTGAATCATTCTTGCGTGACATGGTAGTACAATCACACTGCATTCTCTTTCTAATAATAAAGAAACAGAGCCGTCAGCATCCAAGTAAGTGCTAATGCGTCTTCCCATCCCGTGCTCCCTCTGTCCCCTCCAGGTCACTGTACAAGCGATACTGATAGTCCAGGCTCGGATCGTTGAACCGCGCCTGCATGTCCAGCGCCTCGATAATTTCCACATCCGCCGGCTCCAGCGCGAAATCCGCCTCGACATTCTCCCTAATCTGCCAGTCCACCGTGCTCTTGGGAATCACGGAGCGCCCGGCGCCAACGCCCCAGGCCAGCACCACTTGCACCACGCTCTTGCCGTACTTGGCCGCCAGCGCGCGCAGCGCCGGCTGGTCGATGACGCGCGTCATGTGCGACACCTCCTTGCTCCAGCCCGTCGCCCGGTAGAAGTCGTTCATATTGCCCAGCGGGCTGAACTGCACCACATGGATGCCCTGCGCGAGTAGCCAGTCGTTGAATGACCGCTGCTGCAGGTACGGGTGCACTTCCATCTGGTGCACCGCGGGTACCTAGATCGCGCGTGTGTCGGTTAGAGGACGTGAAAGAGAGCGAGGGCAGAACGGGGGGCCACATACCGTCGAGGACTCGCGCATCAGCGTCTCGAGCTCGCTCTTGCAAAAGTTGGACACGCCAATCGCCCGCACCTTGCCCTTGGCGACGAGCGTCTCCATGGCGCGCCACGTGTCGAGATACGTCGTCTCGCCTAGGAGCATCTTGCCGCGCGCGTCACGCGGGAACTCGTCGGTGCCCCGCCGAAATGTCACCGGGTAGTGCATCATGAGCAGGTCCACGTACGGCGTGTCCAGGTCCCGCAGAGACCGATCGAGCGCCGCCTCGACGTCGTCGGGGTGGTAGTTGTTGCACCACAGCTTGGTGCCGAGGAACACGTCCTCTCGGGGCACGCCGCTCGCCCGGAAGCCCCGGCCGACCTGCTTCTCCACATGGTATACCTGCGCCGTGTCGATGAGCCGCAGCCCGGCCCGGAGCGCCCGCGACACGGCGTCCTCCTGCGCCTCGGGGTCCTGGAACGTGCCGAAGCCGATGGCGGGGATGGATGCGCCCGTGTTGAGCGTGAATCGGCGTGGCGCGGTGGCGATGGAGCGGGTTGAGCGGAAGCGCGAGGTTGTGACTGGGTTGCTGAGCCTGGTTGGACGGCAGACCGCACGTACGGCACCCCACGACTTCATAGTGAAGGTGTAAAGATGTCGCGATAAGAGTAAACTTTGTAATTGGGAGAAGGAGGGGTAGTGAAAGGTGGGATGTTTAATGCAGAATATGGACAAGGCAGTCGACTTAATAACAAGATGCATGCAGGTGCAAGAGGATGCACCGCCGAGCGGCGCTGGTGGCGGCCCTCGTGCCGAGCTCGGTGTGGAGATGTAGATGGCCGAGATACCAGCGGGCCAAGCAAAGGGATGAGGTCGTAGAGATGGATACTTGATGGCTGTGCTTGCTATTTTATTTAATGAATAGCTTGGTTTAAATTGAGTTGCTTGGTAAAGATGTAGTCAACATCCGTGTAGCTACCTGTGTAGATCAAACCAATCTACTATTCACACGTAAATCAAATCACACTCTACTACAAAAGAGTCCAATTCTTCTCTACAGCAAACGAGTCTAATACCACTCTATATCCACACACGCAGTCCCCTCATTGCAAATGCGCATACATGCCGCCGTCGACGAGGATCTGCGCGCCCGTCACCCACGCGCTCAGCCGCTCACACGCCAAAAACACCGCCGGCCCGGCCACGTCCTCGGGGCGGCCGACGCCCAGCGGGATCTTATCCTCGAGGAACGCGCGCTTCTTCGGATCCCGCATGTCGGCCTCAGCCAGCTGCGTGCGCACCGTGCCCGGCAGCAGCGCGTTGCAGCGGATACCGTGCGGCGCGAGCGCGACCGCCACCGACTGCACCATGGACGCCACGGCCGCCTTGCCCGGCGTGTAGTGCGTCTGCAGCCGGCCGCCCTGCAGCGCGCTGATGGACGAGACGCCGATGAGCGCGCCGCCGTGGCCCTGCCGCACCATCTGCCGCGCCGCCGCCTGCAGCGTGTAAAACGCGCCGTGCACGTTGACCGCCATGGTGCGGTCAAAGAGCGTCTTGTCGAGCCTTGTTGGGCGGTTAGCAAACGGGGTAGAGAAAGAGCAAGAAGAAACACTTGCGAGAGAAACTCGGCTGGCTGGAAGATGCCCGCGTTGGACACGAGAATGTCCAGCTTTCCCCAGGCGGACACGGCCGCGCCGACGAGCGCCTCGCCCGTCGCGGGTTCGGTAATGTCCCCGGCCTGCTCGAGAAGCTCCCCGACCGGCTGCGCCGGGGACGCGTGCCGCTTCAGGTCCGCGGCGGCTTGTATCAGGCTCTTCTTGAGCTCCGCGTCCTGGGGCAGGTCGAGGTGGTTGACGGCCACGTTGGCGCCCTGGCGCAGGTACTCGAGCGTGATGGCGCGGCCGATGCCCGTGGTGCCGCCGGTGATGCAGGCGGTCTTGCCGCGCAAAAGGCCGGTGATGAGATTTTTGCTCATTTTTGTGTCGGATCAATTTGCGAGGCGAGGGTTACCAAGGCTAACGTTTGGGAACAACGTAGGCGGCGTTGCTTATAAGTGGCCGTTTGCGATTGATGCGTATGACTATAGCAGATGGAGCAGAGGTTTGTAGTTAGAATAGAGGACGAACCGCAGATGGGATTCGTCAAAACCGACAACTCGTCAGTGAGTGTCAAGTAATCTCACCCGCCGCCATCGAACCACGCAATAGCCGAAGCTGGAAATGCGCGGCGACGCCCTCTCCATCTTTACACTTCCCCACAAACTCCCCCACACATTTGACAAGTTGGAGGTTTCCTCGTCTCGGGGGTTCATCAGTACCCCGCAAACTCGGCTAAAGGGACACGGCTTAGGAACGCCTCGTGACGAGCATTGTCTTTTTGCCATTTGCACAGAAAGTTCCAGCGTCAAGGCAAAGTGCGACGAATTTGATTGCGATATCTGTTTCACTGTGTTGTCTTTTCCAAATTTGAATTCTGCGGGCTGTCGTCGCTCATATGCGTCGGCAAGTGCAGCCGCACAAAGCCCGGGATCGGACCCGGCGGTTCACGCGGAACCGGCTCTCCCGCGGCCGGGGACTGAGAGAAACAACAGGGTGGTAAGCACTTTGACCGGCGTGCAGACAATATTCGTCCCAGCATTGAATCGCTTTGATTGGAATACCGCATTTTCCTTGCAAAACAATTTTTTCCATCGTCTTTTTATTCACTCCGATACGCTGATGCTGTGCTACCCCCAGTTTAACATGCCGCCGTCGCCACGTCAAATGTGACGAAGCCAAGCCTACATGCAAGGCCTGTTCGCGCATCAACAAGACGTGCGCCTGGCCCGACGACGCGCCTTTGCCCTCCAGGCCAGACGATGCCGTCGCAACAGGCACGCCGGAATGCTCGACGACCTCCGATGGTCCGCGCCCAGCAGCCAGTCCCCGGCACGACGCCGCATCACCAGGCGGCTATGCACCCACCGTCACACACCCAAGTCCGCCGCGGAACGCGACCGAGGAGTGGTCAGACGGCAGCGGCGTCGTGGGCGCCCGCGTCTCCGAAGCGCCCGCACCAAGTCGCACCGAGGCCCGCCGCCGCCCAGCGACGCGCAGTCATCCGTGGCCGCCCTCTGCGCACGAACAAGGCTCCGACACGGCAAGGGAGTACATTCTCTCGCCCAGCTCCCTGCAGTCCGCGCCGCAGACGCTGGGCGCGTCGCCCCATCTGGACTGGCTCGGACCAGCCGTGCCCGGCGACTGGATGCCGTCCGCCGCGCTCGACGCCGGTGGTGCGTCGCAGAGCTTCTTCAACGTCGACGACGCGACCGCCGCGTGGGCCAGCCTGCTGATCCACGATGCCTCGTCGCGGATCGAGGCAGGCCCGGGTCTCGGCGCGCTGGGGCCGTTGCCGCCGCGAGACTGCGAGCAACAGCAAGAGGATGATACCCTTGTCGCGCAACGACCGTCTGTGCAGGAGGCGGCTCTGAGCACGCTTGATTCTGGGATTGCGTACGAGCAGGACAAGCCTTGGCAGTCGTCGGTGCCGTTGAAGCTGGAGAAGCACGAGTACCTGCTCTTCCAAGACTTTGTGCAGAACTTGAGTCTTTGGGTAAGCTTCCATCTCTAACCTGTGGCGTCGTCCTGCGAATAACCTCTTTTCTTAGATGGACTTTTTCGACCCCACGAGGCCGTTTGGTACAATTGTTCCCCATTTAGCTGTACGAAGAATTCCGCGTCCCTCTCCAATCCCCTAGCCGAACTGACCAAGCACGGTAGATGCGCAACGTCGGCCTCATGAATGCCATCTTGGCCCTTTCCATCCGACACCTATCTCTCAACGTGCGGTTCCAGCCCAAAGACAGCGTGCCGCAGGACCCTCTCGACGCGCTGCCGTTCTACTTCCTGACGCTGCGCTACATCCGGTCCGCCATGCAGCACGACTCGTACCGGAGCAGCCTGGAGCTGCTCGCGACGGCGTCCATCGTGTCGGCGTACGAGATGCTCGACGGCTCGCGGCCCGACTGGGAGCGCCACCTGCGCGGCCTCTCGTGCATCCAGCACGCCCAGCGCATCCACGGCGCCTCGGGCGGCCTGCGCCAGGCCGTCTGGTGGACGTGGCTCTGCCAGGACGTCTGGGCCGCCTGGCGCGAGCGCCGCAAGCCCCTCACCACCTGGCGCCCGCACACCCCGCCGCCCGAGCTCGACAGCTTCGCGCTCGCCGCCCGCGCCGTCTACCTCTTTGGACAGGCCGTCGGCTTCTGCGCACAGGACGAGGTCGCGCGAGGCCGCAGGGATCCGGAGGCCCGACTGGCCACCGCGCAGAGCCTCCGGCTGGCGCTGGATAGATGGCGCAAGAGCTTGCCGCCGGACTTTGACCCTCTCCCGCTGGATAGCGCAGATGAAGAAAGCGTGTTTGAGCCCATCTGGATACACCCTCCCAACTTTGGTGAGTTTGACTGACAGACAACAATATACTGAATTCCGCCGCTCATGTAAGAGGACAGGTGTCGCCGTGCAGCTGTATCACTGCTCGTGTGTTTTGCTCCTGACAAATGCGCCCTGTCTGGGTGGCATGGCTGAGTATCAGAAGCAGCAGAAGCAACTCGAACAGCACATCCGGGCCATTTGCGGCATTGCCATGCACTTGAAGGGCGACCCTGAAAGCGTCATGTGTTCGCAGGCTCTATTTATCGGTACGGCATTGCACGAGTACGAGCGGCCAGGGAAACAAGATGCTAACGTTGCCTTTGGTTCCAGCTGGCTTGTTTATACACGAGAAGCGACAACGAGAAGCGGTTGTGGACATGCTCGAGAGCTGCTGGCGACGTGCTGGCTGGCCACACGAGTCGCTGGGCGTCGAGCTCCAGCGTGAGTGGAACGATGCGGCATGAAAATCTGCGAGGTTTCTATTTCCCACATCTCCTTCACCTAGAAAGAACATGATACTGTACAACTAGAGCTACCCCTCAGGCTCTGCCAGCCGAGCCGCAAATCTCCATCCACTTGACCGTCAACTGGACGACCTTGTCGGTGCTCTCTTCCATCATCCTGGTATGCGGCAGCGTCCGCGCCGACTCGCCCTGCACAAAGTCGTAGTAGTCGTCCAGAACGAGGCGGTTGACGTTGACCTTGGACACGCCGAGCGCGATGCATTTCTGCAGAATGTGCGCGGGGAATCCGTTGGTGCCGTGCAACGCTATGCGAACCCTACCCGCAATCTGGCCTCGTATCGAGGCGAGTCTATTGACCAAGCGTTAGCGACCAATGCTCATGATAAAACCCTAGCGCAGATTGCGCTCCCAGTCTTGTCGTTAGCACCGTCTAGCCTTGATCACAGACACATACCGCTCAAAGTCAAGCTGCGGTCCCTCGGGCCCATACTCGCCGTGAATATTTCTAAACGCCGGCGCGAGTGTATCGACGCCGGTGCTGATAAATTCCTCCACCTCGTCAGGTGTGGTCAGACACGCCTCGAGGCCAGCCGTGTCCACGACGCCGTCCTCTGCGCCCTCGATGCGGCCGGGCTCCGCCTCTGTCGCGATGCCACGCTCCCTGCAGTAGCGCACGAGCGCGGCCGTCCTCTGCAGGTTCTCCTCCTTGTCGTAGTGCGACATGTCCACCATGATGCTGTCAAAGGGCAGCGTGTCGGCCGCGCGCTTCACAATGGCGGGGTCCTGCGCGTGGTCGAGGTGCACGGCAATGGGCACGCTCGCCGCATCGCGCGCCAGCGCTGCACTGCGCACCAGCAGCCCGTCGGCGTATGTCACGGCCCATGGGAAGAACTGCAGGATGAGCGGCGAGCGCGCCTGCTCGGCGGCCTGGACGAGGCCGGTGAGCTGCTCCACGTTGTAGGCGATGGCGGCGAGGACGCCGTACCCGCCCGCTTCGGCTGCTTGCAGGATGCGGTTGGTGCGGTTCTGGCGCTTTGCGCTGTCGTTGGGAATGGCCATGATGTGCGATACAAGCAGGTTAATAGAAAGAGGTTAGGAGTCTCGGAAAATGGGTAGCGCCGTTGAAGCAAGAATAACGTTTGCGACTGGGACCGATGCGATGAAACCAGGCGTCATCAGCAACTGTCATATATAGTCTCTGTTTCTTTTATTGCCCTCAATAACAGCCCAATAACAGCCCAATAAAAGATATCGTAGTCAGCCGTGCAGGCAGGTGGACCGTACTCGGACTTGGGTTCCGTCATGCATGCCCTCGTAACGAGCGCCCAGATGGCCGTGTTAGTGGCACCGAGGCAATTCCACCCAACCAAGGTATTGCTATCTAACATATTACCCTAGATGAATGAGAATGAGATCCCCGTCGAAATGAGCAGCTTAATCGACCGCAGGTTGTATACCTGCCGTACATCGCGCTTGTTTCCCATTGAAGCCTCCATCACCGTGTTACAGTCATTACCACAATGAGCAGCTCCTCAGACCAATCCGCCCATCCGCCATCAAAGCCTGCCACGGGATGGAAATGGCATCACAAAGACTTTGCCCAAGTGCTGGGCGCCGACCCAGCCTTCCAGCTCGTCCTCTCGTCGCCCGACACGCCGTTTGCCCACGAGGCCGGCGTCTACATCGCGGCCGACGATGCGCTCTTCGTAACGAGCAACCGGCTGATCCGCGACGGCCCCGGCGGCTCCGAAAAGACACAGAGTGTGCAAATCTCCCGCATCGACCTGTCGCCCACCCGTCGCAAGGACGGCGGGCTCGCGACCAGAGCGGACATTCCCTGCGGCCCGATTCACATGGCCAACGGGGGCGTCAACTACCGCGACGGCATCCTGTTCTGCGCGCAGGGGTCCGGAGCGGCACCCAGCGGCCTGTTCTACATGTCCCGGCGCGCGCCGTTCTGCGCCGAGCCCGTCGTGACGAGCTACTGCGGCGTGCCGTTCAACTCGGTCAACGACGTCGTCGTGCGCACGCGCGACGGCAGCATCTGGTTCACGGACCCGGCGTACGGCCACGAGCAGGGGTACAAGGCGGCCCCGTCCCTGCCGAGCCAGGTGTACCGGTATGTCCCCGGCGAGAGCGGCGGGAGCGGCAGCATCACGGCCGTGGCGGACGGCTTCGGCCACCCGAACGGGCTGTGCTTCTCGCCCGATGAGCGGACGCTGTATGTTACAGATACGGACAAGGTCCACGGCGCCGGCCATGTCCGTCCCGACCGGCCATCGTCCATGTAGGTTCCGGCCGTACTACTATTCACGGGGAGCAGGGACTAACATGCCCAGATACGCTTTTGATGTCCGTGTCCGCCACGGACAGCCGATTGTCTGTAATCGGCGACTGTTCGCCTTTGTCGAGACGGGCATTCCAGACGGCATCAAGTGCGACACCGACGGTCGCGTCTACAGCGGCTGCGGCGATGGGATACACGTCTGGTCCGAAGGCGGTGTCCCGTTGGGGCGCATTCAGATCGCCGGCGGCGTGGCCAATTTTTGCTTTGGTCGTCGGGGAGAAATTTGGGCCCTGAATGAGCATCATGTATGGAGGGTCGCGATTGCTTCGTCGATACGCGGCGCTCTGCTAGCTGATCTGTCGACGCAGGCCAAGAGCAGGAAGCGGTTCATGTCTGTGGTGAGGAAGGGGTTTCGTAGCATGTTTTGCTGATTTTCAGTGATATAATAAACCATCAGGGCACAATAGAAGTACAAACACATGGCAAAGGAGTGGATATGAGGAAACGAATGACTATTTTAGAAGGCCACCTTAGTGCAAGCTATCGACGTACTCCTGGAAAATCTGCTCGCAGCTCGAGTCAAACACCAAGCCCATCCTCTTTGCATTCCCAAAGTCCGCCGTCTGCGGCCAGCTCTGCAGCAGCCTCTCCGCCTCCGGGTCCCTCTCCACGCTGATGAGCGCGAGCTTGTCGCGGCCACACACCTCGCCGACCGCGCGGCGCATCTCGCCGACCGTGACCGAGATGCCCGGCAAGTACACGGCGCGCAGGTGCGGCGGCATCACCTCCGCGGGCGCCTCCATGACGCGCACGAGGTTCTCGACGACGACGCGCGGGCTGCAGACGACCTGGCGCGCGGCCTCGTCGACGACGGGCACGACGCACGGGCGGCCCGCCATGGGCTCGCGCACCATGCCGCTGAGAAACGACGCCGCGGAGCGGCTCGGCGCGCCGGGCCGCACCGTGACCGTCGGCAGACGCACGCTGAACGCGTCGAGCAGGCCGCGCCGGTGCAGGTCGTTGACGAACAGCTCCATCGTCAGCTTGTGCGTGCCGTACACGCCGACGGGCGTCGCCGGGGTGTCGTCGGTCACGGGCCCCGCCGTCGTGTACGGCGGCCCGTACACGGCCTGCGTCGAGGCGTAGACGACGCGCGGCGGCGGCGGCGTCGTGCCCGACACGGCGGCCAGCAGCGCCTGCGTGGCGTCCACGTTGACGCGCTGCGAGAGCGCCGGGTCCGCCTCGCAGCCGACCGACATGATGCCGTGCAGCACAAAGAGCGCGTCCCACCGCGGACGGAGCGCGAGGAGCCGCGTCCGGTCCGAGGTCGAAGTCAGGTCCGCGCCGACGCAGACGCAGCGCGCGTCGGAGGCGAAGCGCGGGGGCGGCGTCGGCGCCGCGAGGTCGGTCAGCACCACGTGGTGCGCGGCGTTGTTGTCAAGGAGCTTGCTGGCGAGGAGGGGTGCGAGGAAGCCGGCGCCGCCGGTGATGAGAATGTTCTTGGTGGCAGCCATTTTGTTGTTTGGTGTTCAATGGGGACAAGTTGTTGGGGTGTAGTGTTGATGGGAGGAAAGATTCGCGGGATGGGTGACAATTTAGTTGGCTACGTGTTTATATTCCCGTACCACCCCGTCCCTTTCTTCATACTCGTCACTCGGTTCGACATGCAGAAATCCCGATCCATGTGCCGGGGAACCCATCCGGCATCATGAGGCTTGGCTCCATCTCGCCTCGAGGGCATCCCTCTTGGCGGCCCTAGTGTATACCGATATCGCTACGCGACCTTGCAGGCGATCAGATGATTTTTGTGGATTTCTTTTGTATTCTTCTTAGAAATGGAATGTCTGTAGCCTTGGACATATTTGGCGCCGAATTCATAGTACTTGTCTTTCGGCCACATTTGTCAGTCTGCGCACACTCCCTCACGCTGTAGAATTGGCTCGTTGACGTCATGATCATCTACTGGAGCTATTCTTTCCTGGCAATTTGATATCGCAGGATGTGTTTGATGGCACATAGTCATGGCAGAGAGTGATTCCCATCATTCCGCAAATTGGACAACCTTCGTAAGACTGTACTTTTATAGTTCAAGTTTCGTAGCTGAATGACTTCTGCAGCACCCTCAAGTCTCTCTCGTAGTCAATAACCCCTGCAACACCATTGGATAGCTCAAACTTAATTGAATGTAAACACATATCACAGGTCGCTCAATCAAACTCGTTATGCTGCGAGCTGCTCGAATCCACCTTTGCTTCTGCATCCTGAACCGTCTTCTTCAACACACCACCTGCTTGCTCCCTCTCCTCCTTCAGCCTCGCAAACGTCTTTTCCGCATCCCAGCTCCACGGAGTCGGTGCCGCAAACAAGAGATCCATTTCCTCAAGCGTTCTCTGGTTGGATTCGGGATACAGAGCCCATACTGCGAAGCTGTTAGTCACGGTTCTAGTAGATGGTGCAGAATGGAGCGACATACCAATGGGAATGCTCAACACGTTGACAGCGGCAAAGATGTACATCATGTTCTCGTTGATGGCGCTCACAACATACGGAAGCACAAGAGTAAGGGTACTAGAAATATGTCAGCGCCCATGTCAGCAGACGTCATGATCAACGTACCCATTACCGATGCTCCATCCGACAACACCCCACGCATTGCCCTTGGCGCGCACATGAATCGGGAAGATCTCTGCCGGGTACAGCCAGGGCACTGTCAGCCACGTGGCACCGAATACAAACGTGTACAGATACACCATCGAGGCTGCCGCCGCACCCCATGCGTTGGCCGTGCTGATGTCGCCTCTGTGCCTCGCGTTGAGGCCGCCGCGCGACAGCCCCCCGACGAGCACCATGGCGATGGCTTGGCATACGGAGCCCCAGTACAGCGTCATCCGCCGGCCGATGCGGTCAATGGTAAAGACGCAGATGAGCGTGGAGAACATGTAGAAGATGTTGTTCAGACCCGCCACCCACTGCGTCTTGTCAGCCCCAAAGCCGGCAATCTGGAAAATGGCTGCGTGCAAGCCATGTTAGTCCACCATCAGCAACACCGGACGGAGGCCACACTTACTCGGTCCGTACATGGTGACTCCCGCAATACCAGTCCAGCACTGGATAATCTGTAGCCAGATGACCAGCTGGACGCGGCGGCCCGTGTGCAGCCTGCCCGACTTGCGCCCAAAGAGCATGTGCAGGTACGACGTGCCCTCGGCGCTCTTCTCCAGCTCCAGCACGCTGCGGATATCATTGTACTCAGCCTCAGCCCGCCCGTCCTCGACGCCGCGCAGCCGGCGCAGCACGTGCAGCGCCTCGTCGTCGCGACCGGCCTTGACGAGCCACCGCGGCGACTCGGGGAACGCCCAGCAGCCGGCGACGAGGCACAGCAGCGGCAGGATCTGGAAGGCGACGGGGAAGCGCCAGCGCACGGGCGACGCGCCGCCGTCGATGAAGCTGACGCCGTACGCGATCCAGTACGCAACGACAACGCCCAGGATGTTGAGCGTAAACTCCATGGCGATGAAGGTGCCGCGGCTCGTGTGCTCCGACAGCTCCGACGCCCACGCCGGCACGATGCCGTTGAGCACCCCCGTCCCGATGCCGTTGACGAACCGCGAGCCGAGCATCCACGCCGGGTTCTGCGCCGCCGCCTGCAGCGACGCCCCGAAGATGGCCCACACGGCGCCCACGCCGATCGTGCCGATGCGGCCGTGCCGGTCGCCCAGCGCGCCCCCCGCGAGGCACCCCACGAGCGTGCCCAGGTAGAAGATGGCCATGGTGCCGCCTTGCACGAGGGTTTTTTCAATGACCAGGCTGCCGTCGGCCGCGAGCCGGCCGAGCCCCATCCGCTCGACGTAGTCGATGCTTTGGTTCACGCCGCCCATCAGGCCCTGATCGTAGCCTTGTCGTTTTTGTATTGTGAGCTGATGTATTCTTGCGTAATGGGCAGAGATCCTACCGCAACAAAGTAAGACGTACCAAAGAAGAAAATGGACATGCCAGCCAGCAAGTTGACGGCAATGAGCAACCGTCGTTTTTGCAGCCGCGCCGCCACCATCCAGCTCTTTCTCTGATCAAAGGATAAAAATGCCATTTTGACAAGCAAACAGACAACGGTTTACTTTGAGAGGACAATTGCGTTGACTGTTGCTCGGAGACAAGGCGTATTTCGTTGCATCTCCATGAGGAGAATACGTCGTTGTATTTATGCGCTCGCCAAACCTATGATCAAAGTGCCGATGGTTTGTTCGCTTAGGGGTATCAGTCCGGGGCCCCGGATTTTGCTAGGTAAATCGTATAAATGCTGCACGATACTCTGGGGAATTGTAGTTCTCAAGCCACTCGCTCGAGGAGGCGTCCCTCGAGCCGAGGGGACGTGGCCGAATTGGCTGCTTCTTCATGCCCTCGTGCCGAGCCTGTCCGCATCACTCGTTGCGTGCAATAATATCGAGCAATTCATTGACTCTTTTAGATATAAACCACAATGTAGAGGTCGTTGCAAAAATCCTTCACAACCCGGTCAACATCGTCCCCTGCACTTACACCCAACATCCAAAATGCCCCTGCACGTCCCCTCCAACCTCGACAGCCCCGTGCTGTCGCTCTTTTCCCTCGAGGGCAAGATCGCCCTGGTGACGGGCGGCTCCCGCGGCATCGGGCTGCAGGTCGTCACGGCGCTCGCCGAAGCCGGCGCCGACGTGGCCTTCATCTACCTCCGCAGCACGTCCGCCGAGGCGACGGCCGCCGCGGTCGCGGCCAAGACAGGCCGCCGCGTCCAGGCGTACCAGTCAGACGTGACGGACCGCACCGGCCTCGGGGCGACGATCCGGCACATCGCGCAGACGTTTGGCCAGGGGCGGCTCGACGTCGTGGTGGCCAACGCGGGCGTGTGCCAGGCGGTGCCGTCGCTCGCGTACGACCAGGAGACGTGGGCGCACACCAACAGCGTCAACTACGACGGCGTCATGTGGACGGCCATTGCGGCGGGCCAGATATTCAAGGCGCAGGGCCGCGGCAATCTCGTCGTCACGGCGTCGGTCAGCGCCGGGCTCGTCAACGTGCCGCAGACGCAGGCCGCGTACAACGCCTCCAAGGCGGGCGTGCTGATGCTTGCCAAGAGCTTGGCCGTTGAGTGGGTGGACTTTGCTCGGGTGAATTGCGTCTCGCCGGGATATGTGCACACGGAAAGTGAGTGGTCATGCTGGACAGAATATGTTTGCGGCGACTGACGCGTTGACAGTGATTACCACACAGCCCGCACATCTGCTGGAAAAATGGCTCGGCATGATTCCGGGCGGAAGGACGTGCCAGCCCGCTGAGCTCAAGGGCGTAAGGTTTTGGTATCTGGTTAGAATGCTTGAATGCGTCTCGCTAACAATGTCGCAGATATACACATTCCTGGCCAGCGACGCATCATCGTACATGACAGGCTCCAATGTCATTATAGATGGCGGGTTCACACTACCATGAAGTTACTACTTTTAAAATAAGCATCTTGTTTACATCGTTTACATAGAATACTTGTTTACAATCAACCAAGACCCTGTCAGTGACGTCACTGCCCGTCTAGCCGTCCCACTGTCGACATCGTCACCAATGCAACTTACCCTACCCTGAAGCCATGGGTCCGGGACCTGAAGGAGTAAACCCACCGGTATCGGTATGTATTCGTGCAGTAGTGTTGTTGCTGTGCATGAAATCCGTTTATTGGACCCAAGGTGATTTGGAACCAAAATCGCCTGTTGTTCTGTATGCAAGTGCTCCAAGATCAAAGGAAACCCCGGTGTCCGAGTCCGGCATATGTAGTCGAGCTGACTTGTGCAGCATAGTGTAGCAGTAAAGCTGGGGCTGCCAATAGTTCCTTCAAAAAAACGGCGGCACCATCAGCCGAAACAGAAACGAAATCAATCCACACTGCATGATTGGCTTCAGCCCTGATAAGTCGAATTCGCTCCGTGAGGCCTCTGACCTATCGCGCCGTCACGTGCAGCAACGGCCGGTGCCGAAACCACGTGCCGAAGAGGGGGTATCTCACCTAAGGGTACCTTAGTGAGTTCGGCTAAAGGTAGCAACCCTTAGCTAAGGTAGCCCTACTAATTCTTAATATATACTATATATCTTAGTATAATAATATTCCTATTATAAGGATATTTCCTCTATATAATACTCTATTAGATTTATAAACTATTTTAAAACTAATTATTAATTAGTTTTAAATTTATTTATAATTAATTCTTTTCCTTTTTATAATAATAATAATAAAATATTAAAATACTATTTTATAAAGACTTTATTAGATATTATACTTATTATAATAATAGTATTTACTTACTAAATATACTAGGTTATATAATATATAATAACTAAGTAATTATTTATTTAAGTAAAATTTATTATTAATTTTAATTAACTAATTCTATACTTTATTTTTATTTATATTTTATAAGTTTATAATTAAATTTATAATATTATATTTAATATTATAGTTTATAAATCTATTAACTAATTATAAAGGTATTAATAATATAATAATAAGTTAAGGCTATTAAATAGTATAATTAATTCTTTAATATAGCTTAAGTTAATTAAGCTTAAGTATATTAATTAATTTAAAATTAATTTAAAATTAATTTAAAACTAATTTATTTATTATATAAGATACTAGCTAATCTATAAAGGTAATAGTAAAGAAATCTTAAGTATATAGGCTAATTAGTTTTTAATTAATTCTAAACTAGTTCTAAATTAATTTATTTATTATATAGGCTACTAGCTAATCTACTAAGGCTATAATAAAGTAATTAGAATAATAAGACTCTATTATAAGTAAAAGTCTTATACCTTTTACTTTAAAAAAGTCTTAAATATAAAAAAAGAATAAAATATCTTAAAGGATCTTAATTTTATTAACTTATTTAGAATAGGTTAATAGAAAATAGTTAAAGTAAATTAATAATCTATTAGATATTTAATATAAGTATTATCTTACAAAATAATATTACTTATTAGTATTATATAATAAGAATTATAAAATATAGTAGAAATTTAAAGAACTAACTAGTTAGTTTCTTAGTTATTCTATCTTTCTTTTATCTTAGTTATTTAATTATTTATCTTTTTTATATTATTTAATATCTTTTTAATAATTTATAGTATTATTAAAAGTAGTTAAAAATCTACCTAAGAATATTTAATTAATATATAAGGTTTAGTAGTTTATTTAATTAGTTTTAAACTAATTAAAAACCTATTTAAAAAGATAATATTTAAACTTTTATTATCTAAACTCCTTATTATTAGTTTAAAGTAAACTTAGTAGTAGTATTATAACTTATAGTATTATTACCTATAGTATTACTACTTATAGTATTATTATCTATAGTATTATTACTTATAGTATTACTATTTATAGTATTACTATTTATAGTATTACTAATTATAATATTATTATTTATAATATTATTATTTATAGTATTATTTATAATTATTTTAAAGTAGGCTAATTATAATTAGTTAAGAACTACTTTTAAATTAGTTTATAATTTATTATAAAGAAGATTTATACTAAGTATTTTAACTATACCTAAATATCCTAGAAAAGCTAGTATATTATAATAGTATAAGGCTTATATTTTATTATCTTTACCTTTAAGTAAAATATAATTAATAACTTATATAAGCTTAAGTAATAATATAGGTTACTTAAGCTTAAGGATTATCTATATAGTATTAAAATACTATATTATAATAAATACTTTAATATTATATAGTTATTAATTATTTATTAAATAGTTAAAGACTAATTCTAAATTAGTTAAAATAAGTAAAGTTAAATAGAATAAATACCTTTTTAAAGCCTTAAATAAGCTTATATAGGTATTACCCTAAATATAAGACTAGTTATAACTTAATTTAATACTATTTATTATTTATAGAATATTATTCTATAAGTATTTTAAGATATTTATAAAGATAAAGTTAAGGCTTATAGTAATAATAGGATTTACTTTATACTCTATTTAATATTATATTAAGAGGATCTCTAGAGAAATTAGTTAGTAACTAGTTTTTAAGTAGTTTAAGACTTATTTATATTAAAAAGTATAAAGGATTATATAGTATTTATTTTAAGATAAAGTATTTAAAATTAATATTATTTAATTATATATTAAATAGCCTTTCTTAAAATATTATTTAACTTTAGTTATAAAATAATATTAGTAAAGTTAGATTATATAGGTAAAGTGCTATTCCTAAGGCTAATACTCTAGGTTAAGTTTAGAGAGGGTATAGGCTAATCTTATAATATAATAAGTTTAGAACTAATTCTAAACTAATTAGGAATATACCTTAATAATAAGTAGTTTCTATATTATAAATAAGACTATAAAGACCTTTATTATAAATACTTTACTATTTTATTAAGGTATAGAAATATTATTTAAATAATATAAATACTTTAAAGTATATATATTTATAAGTAGGGGTATTATTCTTATTAAAGAAGATATAAAGTAGTAGTATAACTATAATATAGTTAGTAAAATAGTAGATATAATAGACTAATTTAGAATTAATTCTAAATAGGTTTACTTTAATTATAAGTTTTTAAATAAAATACCTAGGTTAGTTAGTAGTTATTACTACTAACTAGTTATTTATAATTAGTATTTACCTTAATAGCTATATAATAGCCTTAAAAGATATTCTCTAGTTAATTATAATAAAAGTATATAATAATATAGTAATTATCTAAATACTCTAGGTATTAAATATACTAAAGGGAGTAGAACTAGTTAATAACTAGTTTATAATTAGTTAAAGGATATTATTAATATAAATAGTATATTTATTACTTAGTATTTATTTCTTAATAATAGAGTATAATTAAGGTAATAAAATTCTATCTAGATAGAAATTATAAAGCTTAAGACTTCTTAATAATTATAAGTAGTTTTATATTATAATATAATAGAACTAAGTAAGTTAATAAAGGTATTATAGCCTAATAAGTATATATTATTTAAATATATTTATTAGAAAATAATAAAACTAGAGGAAGTAATTAGTAATTAGTTCTAAATTAGTTCTAGACTTAATAAAAAGGAAATAATACCTAAGGATATTATAGTATTCTTAAAGGTTATAGCTAGATATTAGAATTATATTATAATATCTAAAGATAGTTTTAATAAAGGAATTAGTATATAAGAATATAATCTATATAATATTAAAATAATTATATCTACCTAGGCTAATTATAGGATAAGGAATATAAAAATTACTTTATATAGAAGATAAGATAGTATACTATTACTTATTAAGTAGTTTTAAACTAATTTATAATTAATTAAAATATAAATAATTAAAGACTATACTTATTATAATATTAGTAGTAAATTATATTTAAATAAATAAAATAGTACTATCTTTACTTTTTAATAGAATCTCTATAGAGAATTATAGAAATCTTATTTTAATATAATTAATAGTTTAAGTTATAATATATATAAAAATAAGACTCTTTAGGTAATTATTAGAAATTTAAGTAAAAAAAATACTTATAAGTATTTAATTATATAAATAACTAAGAACTAATTAGTAATTAATTTAGAATAGTAATATACTAAAATACCTAGATAGGAAGTTATCTATATTATAATATATATATTAAATTAAATAGATTATATTATATTCCTTAATTAAATACTATAATAATAGAATAGGTAAAACTAGAGTATTAAGGGGTAAGAAAGATATATCTAATTAATTTAGAACTAGTTCTAAATAGGTTAGGACTTTATTTACCTTATAATATCTTAATATACCTACTTAATTATAGAGGTACTTTATTATTACTTCTCTACTAAGTCTTTAAATAACTTAGGTAATATAGAGTAATATAAATATTCTATTTAATTATATAATAGATAGACTTTACCCCCTATATACTTAAAAATATATTATATATAAAGACTAAGTAAATAGGAAAATATTAACTTAGGTAGTTATTTATAGTAAAGGTAGTATTAAACCTAGGAATTAGTTAGTAAGTAATTAAGAACTAATTACTCCTTTTATTATATATATCTTTCTAAGGGGTTTAAAACTACTATATAGATAAGCTATAAATAATATAAGTAATTCTAAATTGCCTAGAGGCTAGGTATTTAGGTAATAATAAAGTTAGAATAACTTAGTAAATAGATAATATATCTTTTAGTAATCTAAGAGTATTAGTAATTAATTTATAACTAATATTCCTAATAAGAGTATATAAGGTATAAGTAGTATCTTCTATTATAAGAAGAAAATAAATAAGAAGTGGTTTAGAAAGTATTTATTATTTATTAGAAAAGCTCTAAAAACTAGTTAGAAATATATATTAAGACCAATAGGGTATATATAGGGTAAGAGGTAAAGTTATTATATTATATATCTCTTCTATCTAGTTATATAGTATAGGTAAG